CAAAAACCTGTAATTTCACTCAATGATCTGCTCAAGCAATTCACAAAAGCTGAAGAAAAAAAATGCAAGAATTTTTTTCCCAGTTCCCCCAGCGATGAAACCCTCCTGAGAAATCAACGAATCTCTCCCGTATTACGAAAGAATGTAAATAAAATTTATCTGGTAATAAATCGCCGAGGGAATAGGCGCATTGAAACGTTTAAAAATGTGAAAAGTACATGAAGCTAGTGTGTAACGAGTAATAGGCAGGTGGCACATTGACGATTATTTCTCAAATGATTCACTCTCCATGTGCCTCACCTCGCCGTATCTCCATTCATTGTCTCACGTTTAGCTTGATGGCACTCTCTCAACCTAAATCATCTTTCGTAACTATCTGTCATGGACGTAATAACGGGAGGCAGTGCGTCATTGGTTGCAGAGAGTGCTGCGACACGCCCGGGAAAAGCGTCGGCGTTGGTGAGCATTCCGAGTGTTGATGGCAGTCTCTCACCTGCAACTCAGGGGAGGATTCATTAGGATTTAATTGTCAATGTTTTAAACGAAGTATTTTTCACTTCACTGCAGACTGCAGCGCAAATTGACTCGTAGGATTTAACCTGCACGATTTGACCTTCATGATTTCATTTATCGGAGTGAATATTGTGAGTCAAGATAACTTGACCCACACGATTTCACTTGAATTATGTAATTTTATGACCGCAACTGACTTCATGATTGATTTTTTTATTTATTTTATAGATTTGTTATAGATAAGTGGTATCTCATAGGTCAAATATCGCGGGTCGAATCAATTTGACCCATTATAATTGACTCAAAATACATGATTTTGTGAGTGTTAATTGACTTTATACATGATTTTATTGAGTTGGGTGAGAATTTGGGGGACAAATAATCATGGCAAATCGTATGGGTCAAATGTGATGGTTCAGATCAATTTGACCTATGATATTTGACTCAATTGACGTGGTTTTTGATATGGAGTCTTTGGATGACATTTTCAAATGGAATTTTAAATGAAGTCATTTTTATGTAAATACAATGCAATTGTTCACCCAGCATTTAACCTTTACAATTTGATTCTCAAGATTAGATTCATCGGAGTAAATATTGTGGGTTAAGTGAACTTGACCCACACGATTTCACTTGAATTACGTGATTTTATGACTGCAACTGACTTCATGATTGATTTTATAGATTTTTATAGATAAGTGATATCTCATGAGTCAAATATCGTGGATCAAATCAATTTGACCCATTATAATTAAGTTTTAAATTAAGTCATTTTGACGTGAATACAATGCGATGATTCCCTCAGGGTTTAACCTTTAGGATTTGACTTTCATGATTCAAATCATCGGAATGAATATTATGAGTCAAGTGAACTTGACCCACACGGTTTCACTTGAACTACATGATTTTGTGACTGCTACTGACTTCATAATTGATTTTATAGATTTCAGTGATATCGAATGGGCCAAATATCAATGGTCAAATCAATTTGAGCCACGATAATTGACCCAAATAACGTGGTTTTTATAGGACATCTTTGGATTATGTTAAATAAAGTCTTTATCATGTGACTACAATGTTATTTGACCCTCAAGATTTGATTCGTCCGTGTGAATGTTGTGGGTCAAATGGAATTGATCCACTCGATTTGATCTGAATATGTTATTACACATCACATGATTTCGTGACTGGAACTGACTTCATGATTGATTTTATTGATTCAAGTGATATCTCATGGATCAAATATCATGGGTCAAATAAATTTAACCCATTATATTTGACTCAAATGACGTGATTTCGTGAGTGCACATGACTTCGTAATTGTTTTTTTAAATTTGGGTGACAATGTGTGGGTCAAATAATCATGGGAAAAATTGTATGGGTCCAATATCAATAGTAAAATAGTGTGGGTCAAATATCATGAGTCAAATCAATTTCACGCATGATGTTTGACTCGTTTAACAAGATTTGATAGCTTCTATCTTTATAAACTCCATCCTTTTTCATGATATCGCATGTATTAGATAACAATGACAGAATACTGTGAGTCAAATTTCATGAGTCAATCCATTTTGACCCATGATATTTCACCCAAATATCACCGAGATGATAAAAAACTTGACATCATGCAAGTTTCCAATCCTCAACTGGAACGCCGCGCACACTTGTGCTTGCACATGGATCAGACAGGATTAGCCGAAGTGAATGCCCGATTACCTCTCATTCTTCCTCATTTAATCACAAATGTTTTGATTAAAGTCCCCATCTCCATTCCAACTTCACTTTTAATAGAGGAATTAATCATCGCCTCATTTAAATCGATACAAAATCAATTATTTTCTTTTTACAGTACTTAAGATAAGAAAGTTGTTTGCATTCACTCTCAATAAATTCATAATATAAAATGTAATTAACTCACGATCGAGCCTCCCTGATTGAATCATTAATTTCCTATTTTAATTGAAATTGAGTTGCTTGTTGATGGTAATTAATTGAGTTAATCCAGAGGGTTTGCATTAGTTTTCTCGCGGCGTTGAAAATTCCGGAATTTCTCTTACATTCTTTACCATCATTCCCCTTATTTTACAATGTTTAGATGAATTATTACAAAATTATGGGTACCATCCCATATACCCGTGCCTATTAAAATCCCCTGCAGGCAGTCGTGTTGTTTATGCCTGATAAAACGCAAAATATCGTGTCATGCGTGGCCTTGCCTTGTTCGCAAGGTTTAAACTGCGCTCTCAGTCCCGGTGATAAACTCGACGCGAAAATAAAAAATATGAGAATGAATGGAGATTCCTATGGTAATGTTTTCGTGTATTGGGCCACCATGGAATTGGTAGATTTTGAACACGAGGTGATAACCTCAGATTGCCGTAGGTGCGGATTTACGTTGATAATTATTGGGATTTTTGTTAAGAAATCTTTGTTGTCGACTTTTTTTATTTGACTTGAACACTCAATGAAATGACATATTTGTCATGAGTATTCTGTGTTGTACAATATTGATTGAATTCATTACTGTTGGAATATTCGAGCAACTCTTCTATTATTGTAGAAACAGTTCTAGAAAGGGACTAATTTACGATCCGTTGTGCTCTGCAATGGAGAGCGGTTTAATTCTAAACACATGCTGAAATTTGAAGGAGGACTGTGTCCTCTTGAGTCGTTAAACTTTATTATTTTTGTTTTTCATTTTCCCAGTGAGTTTTCACTTGGCTATTGCTTTTAGTCTTAGGACAGCGGTCCTCTTGTACAGACGTAGCTTCCTCGTGCAAATAAAGAGATTTTAAGGATATCCAAGTAATTTGGCTATTTTGTCTCCAGTGAAATGCTTTTTTACTTTTGTCATCGAGCCTCACAGCTTTCATTTGAGCCCCATTTGACCCTAAGTTTCCGGACATTTTACAAAGATTTTATTATTTAAACTTTGCAGGTCTGAATTTGAATATTGATATTGAACTGTTAGAAAACATTATAAAAATCTGAAGAAATTTTAGAAAGTTTACTTTTGGAGGAAGATTGATGAAATAATTGAAAAGTTGCCATTTTTGAAAATTATGAGCCTTTTCTATAAATAATTTATAAACAATCAATTTTCTGCCATAAAAATCATTTGTTCGGAATCGTAACAAATTTATTCATATTCAGAATTTTACCATAAATCGATTTCATTCCTAAAAAAAAGAAGGTTTCCGAAAGTTTAAACAATTTTAATTATTTATTTATAAATAACGAATGTTTAAAAAATAATAATTCTGTGCACAATGAAATTTGAATGACACTGAATATTCATGATTGTTTTCAAATTTTTCTCACGCAATTTGATTGACAAATTTGATAATTGAATATAGTTGAATCTATAGTGTGATCTGTACCAAACTGTAAAAGATACTTGGATATCCTTAATAGAGTATCTCATTGTTTTGCCACATTTATTTATTCACTTGCACCCATATTCCATTAATTACGATATACTTTACATCATCAAATTTGATCCTGTAATTGGATCTGTGCTGTTGGGTCTTTATGAAATGAAAATAAAAAATGAGAATTGAACATATTTGAATTTAATTCATTTTATTTAAAACAAATGAACAGTTCGTTTTGTACTTGAAGTGAATGTATCATTCATTTCATGTAATTCAAACATTTTCATTGAGGCAAATATATTACTGCTGAATACAAATTCTAATTTCATGAGTAGTTAACTAGTAATTTTTAGGAAATATTGAGTTTTATTTAAGGGAAAAGTGAAATTTCAAAACTCTCCGAAAATTCAACGACATTCCAAATTATTGTGCAGAAAAAAGGCTATTAAAAATAATTATTGAGAACATAATTATCCTGAATTTTTAATTAACTAAAGATTCATGAATGAATTTATCTGAATTTTCTCCATTTCTCTTTATTTTTGTGGAATAATTGACATGAAATTGTGAATTCGCAACAACAAAAATTCCTTAAAATCTCATTTGATAAAAATTTTGACCAAGTCTAGCAAAAACAAATGGATTTGTAGATTAACAAAATTAATGAAGTGAATAGAAAAAATTTCAAATAAATATTTTAATCAATCTCAGTAAAAATATCATATTTGTGAGAATATTATATTCGTCTCAACGTGTTAATATTAGGGGGATGATGTCCGGAGAATTTTTAGATGATGCCACTTAGAGGGAACAATGCTTGCGCACTCCTCCGCGATTAATGCCCCTCATTTGTCACGAAATACGAATTTCGGGGTATTTTGGGACGGCAACCGGACATCGCGGTGGTAACCCACATCTGATGTATCAAATATTCGGGGCTTATTCAATTACTGATAGTTCTATCTGCGGAGATAATGGGGATGAGGTTAAATCGAGCATGAAAACAACGCGTGATTTGGAATTCCTTTCTCATGAATCTGCTCCAATCTACTGTTTTGAACTCGCGATTAATTGATTAGTTGATTAATTGATCCAAGCTTTTGGTATTTTCAGGTAGTCGCGAGACCTGTGACGTCGAGGGAGAGGACTTCACCGTCGACAAAATACCAAGAGTCAACACAAAGTGCTTCAACTGCATTTGCAAGGTAAATGCATGTTTAAAAAATAGTGTCTCGTGATGAGATATTTTTTTCCGCTTTTTGAAGATCATTGTGTCCCCAAATTTCAGTGTTTTTAGTGGATAAAATTAAGACATTGAGACATGCATTCTAGACATTCTAGGTGACTGGTTTTGCCACGTACTTTATTTATTTTTGCTTCAAAAGGGAAACTTCGTAATCGCGCAAATTTAAGTTTCCAATTTTTTGTGTTGGGGTAGATAAATATAGTCTAGAAAGTCGGAATATGCGATTTTTAGATGTCGTCTATACAATATATCTGGTCTTTTTTCTTAATTTTCTGTCGAAAATTTCTCATCAAGAATCAATCGAAAATCATGACTTTTTCCATGAATACAGAATTTAATAAACTTTATTCATTGGCACCAATTCAGTAGTTTCCTTGAGTTTTTTTAGAAATATTTCCGAAATTAAGGGGGATAGCGACATTTTCATAATAACCTTTTTGTATGGCGACTGGCCAATAGCCAATTTCCATACAGATTCGAAAAAAATGATATTTTTCCATAAATCAATTTTTCAACCATCACTCAAAAAATTGTTATTAAAATGGAATTAATCATGGTTCAAAAAATTGATCACAGTACCCTCTTGATTCTATCAGAATATGATGGGGGTCGCACTATTCGTTGTTGAGTTGCAGCACATTGTTTATGCGATTTGAAAGAGAAAATCGGTTTTTTCATGATTACTGAAAGAATCATCAGTAATAGCAATTAAATCAGGGCTTGAAAAGTATATTTCAATGGCTTCTTAATCAAGTTAAAAAATGGTGAGAACAGCATTATTGCTTATCAAGTTACACAATACCGTCATGAGTTTTTATATCAAAATCTCGATCTCGATTAAATTCAGGTACCAGTCTATTATGTTGAATACTTATTCATATTGATTCATAGTCCCGACTAATTTCTGATAGAACCTGGGTTAAACTCTGGCTAAATCCTGAATAAACTCTGATTAAATCCCGGCTATACACTGATTAAACCTTGATTGAACCTTGATTAAACCCGGACTGAAAACGAATTCGAGTCTTGAGAGGGTCCGAATGTAGAATTACTTGACAGAACGACATAATACGCAAAATTTTGATGACATTTCAATTGATGATAGTACTGTGCCATGAAAAAATAGAAGAAGAGAATAGTGAAATAAGAATTTAAAAAAGAGAACCCATTCAGAAACAAATTGCTAATTTATTAGTAACAATAACCATACTCATTTATAAAAAAATGCAGTTGTCCTCTTGTTTTACTCGTTTTGCATTTTTGTATCACAATTTTTTAAAAAGTGAGTCAGAATAAAACATCTTGATTATACCCACTGAGAGAATTAGTCTCGCAATAAATCACTGAATTTAATTGAATTATAGTCCTATAAATCACAGCTGCAGTATAACGAGAAAGCTGGAAGGAATATTTTGATTTTTCCGACGATTAAGCTGTTCTGTTATCTCCAGTTCGATCAATTTCATCCATTCTACCTTGTGAGTCAATATCGCGTGTTTTAATTACATCCACCGATTGATTTACGATTTTCTTAATTAACAATTCGGTTGATTAACCCCGACTCAACATCCAATAAATCATCTGTTCGATTTCAACGGGGGAAGTTCGAGTATTTGGTATACGAAATTTTTCCATTGCACTCATCCACTCTATTAACTCATCTGATTCATCCAATTGATTACAATATCGTCAATTGGAGGATGAGTTGTGCGTGAAATATTTACATTCGTGATTCAGAAAAGTGTTATGACCAGGGACTGGCATTGTCAATTATAATTAATGATACCAAATTATTTAATTGCTAAGAATAAAAAAGTTAAATTTTCTTAGAAGAGAAAGAATTGTGAAATTTGAAATTGCATCTGAAAATGCAATGAAATTCTGACTTTTTCTGGGAAAAATTATGTAATTGTCTGAATTTTAAATTAAAATGTGAATATTCAGGACTTAATTAATTGAATAAATTGAATGAATTGTGAATTCTCGATTAAGTGAAGAATTCCAAAATACATTTACCTAATTTTTCTAATTTCAATTCAATTTTCACGGAAAATTAAACTGAAATTTACAGTTTTCACTGAATTTTTCATCAATTATTGAATTTTATAATGACGAAATTCGTTGACATTTCAGTGGAATTGTCACTTGATAAAATATTCAATTGAGAATTTCTACCGGAGTTGAGGAAATTATGAAGCCCAATTACAGAAAAAAGATAATTAATTAATCAAAATAGGAAAAACATTTCTAGTTTCCATTAAAAAATTATTTCATTGTCAGGAATAAAAAAACAAATTTCTTTAGAAGAGAAAGAAATGTGAAATTTGAAATTCCATTTGAAAATCCAATGAAATTTCGATTTTTTTTACGAAAAGCTCGTTTCAAGATTTTTGTAAAAAATTTCACAAAAAAGTTCTCATTTTCAGCATTCTCTAATTAAACCTAGTATAATTGTACTTAAATCACAATTTTGACCATTTCAATAGAATTTCCATTCTCAAATTAAGAAAATTCCAATTTGGATACATATTTTAGTTTTTGAAATATGAATAATTATCAATTTAAGAAAGTGAATTTTCTTAATTGTTTAATTTGTTGAATTGATAATTTTTCATATTTCAAAATTAATCTACTCGTATTTCTAAACTGTTTCTGAAATTCACAATTCCATCTCAACGCAATTCATACCGCCTGTTATTAAAAGTCCATCACCCAACGCCTTGACTCAATTAATGTTGAATTAATGTTCAATCAATCTTGAACTTTATCCCATATGAATGCTCTCCTTTAACCCATAAACTTTTTTCTCTGTGAATACATAATCAGACCTTCCCATGAACAATTAATAAAACAATGGCACCATCTTCCAATGTCCCTACCTCCGTTTATGACGATATTTGCCTCACGATGACGAGTTTGAATGCGAAATTCATTATCTACAAACCACTTCATCCGCATATAAATAACCGCACGTCTGAGGGCCAGGGTGATCACGGGGTATACCCAGTGTGTCATCCGTTCTATTCAAACATAGCTTAAACAAAAAAGAAACATTGAAACATAAAGCTGGCAGTGTAGGTGTGCGCCATATAGTCCTTGGACTAGAATTAACTTGAGTGCAAGTACGCACGGGAGAGTACGAATGAGACGGAAGTGAATTTGGCATTAAATCGAAAGATGAAAGTGCATCGAAGGAAACAAAGAGCAGGGGCGAGGTATTCCCCAGCAGCAGCACAAAACATTTTTAAAGGATTACCAGAGATTATGCTCCATCAAGAAATTATATGCTCCCCTGAAGAGATCTTCGGTCGTGTTGAATCAATTTACTTGTGGACAAAAAGAAAGTTTCCACCAAAACATGATAATTTTCGTAATTGTAATTGTTCTTGTGAGACTTTTTTATGTCTTTCGGGTAAATACATTCGTTCTACAGAGATTATATGAGGCTCCGGTTTTATCAAGTGAATGTTATTGAGTAGTGTATCTATGTCCAATAAACACTTATAATTTCTATGGAACAAATGATAATTTCAAGATGAAACTGCAATTTTCTTGCCGAAAACTGTGTTATTGGAAAAACTTGATAATTTCGAGGAGACAATTTTTTTTGGGAAAAAAAAATTCGTTCCTCGTCAATGTATTCTTTCTATGGTATAAACCTATGGAGTTGTCTCAGATCAAATGATTGTCGTACAATAGATTATATTCTTTCCTGCCAACAGTTCGAATTATTCTAGGGATATTTATGATGATCACGACAAAATTTAATTTTTGTGAAAGATATTAAATTTCCTTCCATCAAGTTGATTAATTTCCCTCAAGTAAATCTGTTCCACTCCATCAAATATTCTCACGTGGAACATATGATTTTTTGGCAGAGCTAATTTTTTCTCTCAGTGTTCTATGGGGAATTCTATTAGACTTCTATTGAACTCCTGTTGAAAATTTCTGTAGTTTTACGAAAATAAAACTACAAACTCTGCGATTTTGCTACTGGAAAATGTGCAATAGAAAAACAGTAAATTTTTATGTTTTTACACAACTTTTTCTATAGAAGACATTTTCTATAGAAAGTCCTCGACATGAATTTTCTAGGATTTTTCACTCTATTCTTCTCGTCTTTTCATTAAAAAAATTAAACAAAGAACTTGGAAAATTTACGCCGAGAAATTTCTATAGAAAATATCTTAATAGAATAAGATTTTTTCTGTCAAATATTTTTCACTGAACATTTCGATAGTTTTACTGGCGCTTTTTTTATTAAAAAATATTCAACAGAATCCAGTTCAAAGAAAAAAAAAGAATTTTATCTTTCTATACAATTCTTTCTATCAAGATATTTTCTATAGAAAGCCCTCGACATGAATTTTCCAAGATTTTTCGCTCATTTTTTTTGTTTCTTCATTGAAGAACTGAAGCAAAAAATGGGAAAATTTAAGCCCAGAAATGTCTGTAGAAAATATCTTAATCCAATGAGTTCTATAGAAAAATATAATTCTATTAACTTCTTCTATAGAATATTTCCCATTGGAAATTTTTTCAGCGTGACTGCGATTTTTTTATGAAAAATATTCAACAGAATCCAGAATCCAGTTCGTAGAAAAAAAAGTCGAATTTTATCGATAATTTCTATCGAGATATTTTCTTTAAAAACTCCTCAACATGAATTTCCCAAGTTTGTTCCACTCTATTTCTTAAAAAAAAATCTTACAAAAAAATTTTTCTTCAAAATACTTTTTTATTAAGAAAATTAAATTGAAAAAACTGAAAATATGAGCTGTGGAATTTCTAATAGAATCGGCCAAAACCTAATAGAAAATTGAAAAGAAATTCATCAGCATTTTTCCGCGAATTCTCTAGATTTTTCTATGAAATTTTTCCGTACGCACGCAGACACTCCCTGGACTATCTATCACTCGTTCCAATATCCTAAATAATTTTTACAACAGAAATGATATT